CCTTGGCTTTACGCGCAGGCAGCGTTCCGGCTGTGCTGATGAGGTCTAAAACGTAACTCTAAACTCATTCGTCATATAAGCAAATAAGCGATTGTGCCAGAGAAGGGTTCTGTTGCCGTACAAGCCGTGCGTGTTGTGCAACTGTGTGAGCACCCATGGCCTTGACATCGTCGAGGTCTCTGCACACAGCTAAGTGTGGATTGCTTTACATTCCATATTTCCAGTTCCTCTATTTAAAAGTGATTGGTGAGAGCCCTGTGAGAGAAATATACACTGTATAAACAATTCTGTATATAAAATCACTCTTTCAAGGAAATTTTTAATTATCATCACGAATAATGAAGATTGTTATTTAAATTGCCCGGACAACATAACCCCCTTATCCGCAGTGATCTGAGGGACCACTACCCCGGATGAAATTCGTTCCGCAATGAACTCTGGGAAAGTGTGCTGATCGCCAAGCGAATCGTAATGATTTGGGCCGTTTATAAGAGGAGTGTTCGTGGACTGACTCAGCGACTGCCTCGGATAATAGCCACAGGTGCGAGGGCAGCAGATAAAGAGGTCTGTAGTTTTCATATGTGAATTGTAAAACAACAAAAACCTGTTATTTAGAATGATGTTGCAAGGTCTTCGACACCCATTTTACAGAACACACCAATGCCTCGCAGCATTTACGGGGCAGCCTTGGGAATCAATCATTGGCTCGATTAATCAATGTTCTTTATTTAACGGCATCGTCAGCTGCGAGGAGATCATCGGCTCGTGGTTGCGGGTGCCGACCGCGCCACCGTCCATGCGTCTCTCCGTGCTCGTTTGTTTCGTCGATCGCGCTTTGTCAGCCAAATAAGAATTTGCAAAAGAACAGTCAACTGACTTTAACGCAGATGTTCGTGATATCTGCTGATCGTGTTGTACCCTGGCAGGTTAAGGTCCCCCGATCGCGTGCCATTACCTGCGCGACAGCTTTGCTCAGTAAGTTTGCAGTTGACAATATGTAAACCGCGACGTTTACGGAATGCTTTGAATATGTAAATTTCCGAATGTAAAATACAACGGCGAAAACAATAAAATACACCAACATTTGAAAATATCTCAAGGCAAATGGGGCAGATGGCGAAGCAGTGAATTGTTCCTATTATTCCTGGAAGTAGTCATGTCACGCGATGTGATCTAGTTGCATGATAACAGATATTTTTTCATTTCCTGGACTCTCTGTGGTCTGAATATATCAAAAATAAATAATCTCGCCATTCTTTTTTTAACCACACGGACTTTCAATACTCTGTTTTTTTAGGAGGGTCCTACATTCGAACATTGGGCAAAGTTATTTAAGCAAGTATTTGGCACATGGAAGCCAGAGTTGGTTGCATATAGAAAGGAAAGAGATGGAGCCCTGCGGTCTCTTGTTATCGCCACTTTTGGCGGAAGGGCCTCCACTAGAGGGGGCTCTAGAGAGACCCTCTGAAGGGAACTCAGAGTGACGAGGAGAGAAAACACGCCCATTCAGGGGTCTGCACGGATGATTTCACGAACCCAATTGCTATACTGCCATCTCCTGGCCACCTCACATACCAGTGGCCTTCAGAGTTCCACAGAATTACAATAATACAATTACCCTTGCCACCAAAGCTTTGAATCACTGAGCATAGATAGTTTATGACATTTCTTCTCTGCGCTGGAGGGTGTACTTGATCGTGCATGTAACGTGTGCCTTGCAAGTCTGCAGAGGCAATTCGATAGCCGGTTAGAACCGGCCACGGTGGTCGGCAGCGTTCTGTCTATGTACGTGTGAATGTACGTTGGACTTCTTTTTCACCGTACGCAGCCAACTGTGCTAATCGGAGCGAGGGAGAGAGTGAACGGCTCAATTTAGTTTCCCCCAAGAAGCTCCCAGCACGTGCAGCCACACGTCGGACACCGCGCCCGGCAACCACAGCACAGGTCGGAGAGATGCACGCCACCACCGCCGAAACCACGGACAGCCCCAGGCAGACGATGCAGCATAGCGGCCTGCGCACTGACTTGACACATCCTCTGCTGTTGGTCCGGCTGCTAAGGGAACAAACCCATGCTGCGGTGGTCGAGGGCCTCAACAGGAAAACATGTGCAGCGGCAGCCCTGGTATGTCTTACTCACGACACTGATTGAAGAAGCCACGGAGAGCCCCCATGGAGGGGAATATTTGGCCAAGTTGGCCAGACGTCCTGGGACTCACGAGGTTGTGTCTTCATTTCCATGACGCGTCAAGCGCAGCTGCGGGCAGTGTCAATTTGGAAAGCAAATGAAGACGGTGCTTCACTCCGCTGTGGAAATTCAGTGGCGTGAGACGAAGTGCCGATTGCGCAACTCGCCTCGCGGAGGCTAGATGCCAAGTGGGAGAGCTCCACTGCCCTCTGCCGTGAAAGAGGCGCGCGTAGCGCGTAGCGATGGATCCACGCGTCAGGCCGTGGAGCACGTGGCCCAGCGGGGGCGCGCGTTCGCCGCTTACGCAGAGGTTCGCGGCTCAGCTCCCGCAAACCGCGCTTGGTTATCACTGCGGCTATATTCACCGTCATGTGCAGAACTATGTGCCGCGTGAGTCATAGTGGATGTTAAACATCCTGTATGTATGTTGAACTTCTTTCGCACCGTATGTAGCCAACCGTTGTCCAAACTTGCCAAATTCTAAAGAATTATCCTCAAATGACTCAAACGTGATCACTTAGTGGTGCTTTCTTTGTAACGGCCTTTTAACAATCAACACAAAATGTAGACATTTTTAAATGAATGACCTGGAGTGTGACACTATGGGAGAGACCAGACACCCTTCGTGCCACCGCGTCCTTCTCTCTACGCCCTCTCCCTGCGAACTTCTGCGATCTGCCCCCTTCTCCCCTAGGAGCAGCAGCGACCAAAGCTCTGGCACAAATGAGAGGCTGAGACCGAGTTACTGGTGGCCCCTCAAGGCTCACGAAGAGAAGATTACTCCTCTCGGGATGCTCATCAGTAATATGGTGACAATATGCTGAGTGAAGTCAACTCTCTACGCTATATATACTTCATTAGACCTCCTTTGCCAGTACCAAAGTATAATAATAGGGTTTTTCCCCTTTTTTTCTGGCAACAAAACTGAAACCTTTTTACGAGGAATCATGTGTGTATTAACCACAATACTTGTGGTCAAAATGCAAAGAAAAATATACTCTGACAATATATGCATTGTCCTTGAAAGGTTTCAGTTTTGTTGGCATAAAAAAGCGGAAAACTCCTATTATTATATATGTAGTGTACATGTGTGCGCTCCGTCCGTGTTACGCACAATTGGATAGAGGCAGGGCAGGAGATGTAGGTGAAAATGGCCTGCTACTCTGCCATGCTAGCCTGCGGTGCCAGCGATGATGTAACAGGAGACGCCACACGCTGCAGATTTAACATCAGGAATCATTTGTTTAATTCGAAGCTCGGTGCACGTCAGCTGCAATACAAAACAACACCAAGAGCCATTCTGTGTTATCCTCTCAACACACTGCACATTTGCTGGGAGCCACAAATAATTGGCTGGGGTACATTGTTATTCCTCATTGGTTATTTCGGTAAAGTCCCTTCCATCGGCATCGTGGCGTTATCCCAGTACTTGAAGAATCCAATTGGATGTCTTGGCCTCTGGGATATCGTAGATTTCACAGGGTGCCTGAATGCAATCCCATATAGATTCCACATCAATAAAAATTGCTATCTGGGATTTTCCAAGAGTTAACAGATACGCACCGAGGTGACAGCAGCATCATCGGCAGGGTCAGCTCCGTGGATTCCACGACGGGCCGTGACGTGCAACTGAATCGCTTAATTGTGGACGTCTCTGCAACCAGTTGCAAGCAGTTGTGCAGACATTCACCTCCAATAGAGACCGACTTGACTTTCAAGCAAGTTCGAGAGCGACTTAGTTGCGCAAGCGATTGCTCAAGGCGTGGACTCGGGATGGATGCAGTGCTGTCCCTTAATCGGTGCCCGTGCAACCGGTTTAGCCACGTTCGTTAACAGATCGTAGATGTAATATAACCGCGCCACCCCAGAACAAACCGTACAACAACGTAAACGACGCAATGCGCGATCCACAAACACCAAGGCGACATCACAGCGATAGACCCCGCTACTCCTGACGCCGCCGTCTCGCTTGACAACCACCCCATGACTCCGGCTTCTCTCCCACTTCAGTAAAAATGTATTGCTCTGGTTGTCACACCTGATGATGATTGCTTGTGTTGCAATCGAAACGTCGTGATTTTGTTTTTCTTTACCTACGTGACTCTATCGAAAGAACCAAGAGTATGGATCCTTGCAGAGTCACTAAAACTTCTAATCTGGAATGAACCACCTGCAAGTGAAATTGTCGTCGCTGCTCCGACATCTCCAGCATCATCATCTGCCTCATCAGCATCATCAGCATCATCATCATCATCAGCAGCATCATCATCATCAGCAGCAGCAGCAGCATCATCATCCGCATCATCAGCATCATCATCATCAGCATCATCATCATCAGCAGCAGCATCATCAGCAGCATCATCATCATCATCAGCATCAGCAGCAGCATCATCATCAGCAGCATCATCATCTGCATCATCAGCAGCAGCATCATCATCATCAGCAGCAGCAGCCGCGCGAATGGAGAAGAATCGCGCCGCCTAGCGACGAGCCTGCCGGCCTCGCATGGCTGCAGTCATTGGCACGGGAAGAGCGCCGTGAACGCCACTCGGCTGCGACGATTGGGTTCGGGTAGAAGGGGCGCTCGATGACGCGGGGGAGGGGGAAGTGTGGCTCGCTCTGCGGGCCGAGTCGTGAGCCGGGGCCATCACGTTTCGGGCGGACCCGGGTTGGCGTCCCAATGAACGGGAACCGTCGTGGTTCATCGGCCATCTCCTGGAGACGTCTCGTGTGTGTGCGATGATGGGTGTAGGACAGAGCGTGGCACGGAGCTGCAGCAGCAAGAACAGGAATAGGAGGCGGCGTACGAGCAGTCTTTGACAATTTGATTTATTGACAACCACCGCCGTGGTCTCGGTGAAGATCACGGTCAGAAGGCGAGACACAGTGGGGCGCGGTTGACGATTGGCCACGGCAACTTCCTCCACGCACACCCAAGACACAACACTGCGCCGGTGTTTTAAAATTAAAATGTTGAATGCGTTGTGTGAGAAATGACAGATCAGCATGCATGTCAGCACAGGCCAAGATTTAGTATACAAAATAGAATTGTCAATGACATCAAGTTGATTACCGAAAACAGTTTTAAAATAAACATTATGCCAACCATATTTTTTGTACATTAGTATATATGTAATTAGCAAAACTAACACAAGAATGTATCATTTTATTGAGAAAGATTACCACGCAACTGCTAATAATTTGGTTGACAGGAGCCCAAAATATATTACCAAACAGAAATGTCTGAGTTTAGACAGGATAATGACATTCACAATGAGTGTGTTTCCACTACAATAGTCTCATCATGTCAACAACATAGTGAGCTGCTTTAGAGTAATGTTGAGCACACTGGACATGCAATTCAGCGGTCTCGGGTTCGATTCCATCTACGTGTGGCAGAAATTGAAACGATTAAACCCGGGGCCTTTGTGCACCAGCAGTATAAACGGGTACGCAACATTCGATCGCCAGGCCCCTATGTGATGGTGATGAAGTGTGTCTACTCCAGTCGCTCCCAAGGTGTCTCACCAGCGTGGAGAGAGTCGGCCACAATACCTGTAGAGGGGCTCTATAGAACAACCTCGAGCGGAGACCCTTCCGCCAGCAGTGGCGTGAGCGAGCAATTGCAGGGGCTGCACCTTTATTTGCCTTTGTCATTACCTCCCCGCCCCCCTCCGTACCGTTTCTTCCGCAGACTCGCGGATCATCCATCACGCGCAGAGGGCGACCCGCTGAAAACCAGAGCACTGGTTACGACATCCATTGCCCTTCTCCGCTCGCAGGGATAAGGCGGCTTCTTGGGACAGAGGGCGGCAACACTCGATGGCTCTTCAACCCGGCCATTTGTTTTGTCAAACCAAAGACAAGGAGGTCAGGGAGAACTAAGACTTGCGGAAAGCGTTTCTGGTTGTGGGTCAATACGCGACCGTAGAAAACAAGTGATAGTGCAATAAATATTGCAGGCATTGCAGGGCTAAGGTTAGATTCTGATGCATTTCCAAAGAAGAATAACATTGCATTATTGATGTGCAGTGTATGCGTGTTCCTTAGATACAGATATGAACATCAGCTGCCATTAACAGACAAGCACTGACAATTGTAGATACCGCTGGGGGTGTTTTTCTTCTAATATCTGCAAACAGAATCTTCCCGTTATTGGATGCCGTGCTGCCAGACGACATCTTGGCTGTAATAACAGCGACAGGGTCTTGGCAAGCTCATGCTTAAATCTTCTTGGTATACATTTGCATCCCAAATTATCATTGCCTGGCCCACCCATTACGATGCCAAAATCGGTCGCTCCTGAAATCTTGAACCGCTGTTCATTTGGCCGTGGGATTTGGAGATTGTATCGCGTGGCTCCTGTGTCTTGATCTCATGTTGGTCAGCTTTGATGTCTCATATCGTGAGTGCTCGATGAATCCCACATTTTGAACTCCAGTGGGATGCCTCCAAGCCATCTGTAGCATCGTCCCATGTCTCTGGTTTTAGCCCGAGGGGCTTTTTGTGGCTTTGATGCGAAAGCCAGATTAAGCTTTGTGGTGCCAAACAAAGAGTATTTTAATGCGCGTCACTCGCGCACCGCTCCATTCACTTTTCAGCCTCCTTTTGTTCTGTCGGCTTCTCCGACACTGTTGTCGCGCCTTCTCCTTCTGTGGAAACACATCACATTCAGAATGGGTGAATGCCATGTGCGGCCGATCTTATCCAAAAATAAGTCGCACTTTAAATTCCTCGCCTACATTGTGGCGATTTTGTGCCACGTGAGTAAATGCAGCGTGAATAAAAGTAGCAATGCAGCTCTTATTATTATTATTGCAGTCACTATTATAATAGTTTGGATTCTTCCATGGCATAGATAATGTGAAAGCCAACACGAAATCAATATCTCGCTGAAAGTAACAGATTCATAGACATCAGGTAATTGTCAAAATATTTGGAAACACCTTTTGGCAAGTTACCACTGAATTCGCTTTTTAACACTTTCCAACGAAGGCTACACGCATTAATGAACTATTTGTGTCCATCTTCTGTTTGTCTGTCTGTAACATTGAGAGGTCATGATACATCTCCGCTGTCAACACAACTTCCGTGTAACGTTGGGTTGCCATTACTGACTTACCCTATAAAAAACGGCCACAATGTTCAAAGAGTTACCCAACACTTGGCCATTACAATCAGTTGCTTAAAGGTCAAACATCGTTAAGCGAGGCGGTGCCGTCACGTCTTATTTGCTGTGTGCCGCAATCTTCTCATGCGCCTCTGAAACCGGCTTCATCGTCGCTGACGAAATACTTCCGAAAAACAAAACGCAGGTTGCAAGGGAGTCACGGAATCCGCGAGCGTTCTCGCGTCGTTGTTTTTCTTCTTGCCGGCTATTTGCAAGCGGCATCTCTGCACGTCGGGCGCGGTACCGGCTGTGACGGAGAGGTCGGCGAGTTTGAGGGGGAGGTCGGCCGTGGAGAGCCCCGCGGGGGAGCCCACGATGTTGACAAGAGCGTTCCTCCTGCCCGAGCGTCCCGAAGCCACGAAGTCGGCAAACTCCCCGTCCACATCACTCATGTCTGCCAGCGCACCTCATAGCAGCTCCACCTGCGTGGACAGCCACGGTCGCGGCATTGCCAGCGTCATTTAGCAAAGCACAGCAATTGAAATACTTTTAACAATAGTACAAAAAAACTCGGCACGGTGCAAACTTGATGCGCTGCAACAGCGAAGCACATCAAAAGCGTGGCCCAATACATCACGTGGTGCCTCCTAAGCCACGACGCATCCCATCGTTTTGACCTTGCTTGAAGTAGCGTGGCACTGCCTTGGTTCAGCGGAATCTTCCTGGTTTATCCGACGGAAAAGTGTCACGCTCAAGGTATCCCGGTTTCTCGAGGATACCGGGTGGCTCAGTGGTTCGAGCGCTGGGCCGCCATTGTCAACATGCTGGCTTCGAGCGTTGCCAGTTCCTGGTCTCAGCCTGGTTGCCAATGACTTCACAATAAAAAAATTACATTGAAATTAATTCTGCGCTTAAGTCGCTTAAATTCCAGCTTGCAAATGAAAAATATTGATTTGTCAGGGCGATGAATATTATACTGTTTGTGGCAGAGGAGGTGGGTTAGTGCTGCCCTCTCCTGTGTAAAGCAGAGGCCACGTGATGTGCATCTCAGAGCATGCTCGGCCACGTTGCTTCTGTGTGCCATCTGTAACATGGGGGTTGGTTGCCCGGCTCCATGAGAGGCCCCAATAAGCACTTCGTCTCGTGACACGACGCTCCACAACGAGGATTCGTTTGGGGGAAAGTGACAATAAAGTCAGTCAATCTCCATAAAACATTTCTACATTTTTGGACTGGAATATTCATTTCCTCAAAACAATTCTGCAACATTTTCATAATGTGTTGATATTACAAAAAAAAGGCAACGTGGACAAAACTACCCCGACCTAAGAGATATAATTGACAAAAACAGAATGGCCTGTGTAGGTTTTTGCAGCTCTGCTAAATAACGCTCTTGACATATTTTTGGGTTGAATCGCGTGCTGCAGCAATCGGTAAAGGTGAGGCGGGACCCGACATTTCCTGAAAAAGCTATCGGCGAAACGTCGGACAATACACCGTCCAACCCGAACACACTTCGGAGAGCTAAACCCCGGCCGGCGGAAACGTTTCCGCCACGGTTTGTCCGTGCCGGCACGCTCAGGCGCGTGGCTCTCCGCCCCCGAGGTCCACGCCTGCTCGGCAACTTCATCCGACGCGACCCCCCCGCTCCGTTCCTGAGCGCAACAAGGGCGGACGACCCGGCGCGTAACGATTCGGCGCCGTTTTGTCGCACTGGCGCGGCACAGCCGGCGAGGGGGAGACTCGTGCAGACGGGCGCGTGTGCAGCGCTCTCGCCGCCACGTGCGTGAGCTCGCGTGGACGGGAACCTCGTGCGTTACGGCTCTTCGCACGTGACAGCGCCGCGAGTGGTGTAATGTGTCACATTTACAGCTGATAACAGACGAAGAAACTTTCGTCAATAACACTGCCGTAAAATAAATACGTATGACAGGCAATGTTTCGGGCAATGACTCTTATTCGTTGCCTATCCAGGGCAATAGCCTTAAGTATCCCCCCATGGTACATACAGGGTGCTTCAAAAACATGTTACCACTGACATGGGACTAGAGTTTTTAATGGGAAAAGAACGTAACAAGATCGCCATCGTTGTCAACGCGTGCCTGGAATCTTCTCCAGGTGGTATCCGGAGCCCGGAAGCAGCACATTTCTCGTGGTGTTGTTGCAAATTCTCAGAAGTGTTATCGTCTTTTTGAAGCACCCTGTATTTTTCTTTCCAGGCAGTGTTATTGACGAATGTGTTGAATTGTTTCGTGAACTGTGCTCGTGCACCACTGCCAACGCAGCAGCGGCAGTAGCATCACCAAATAAGTTGGTAACATGGACGTCGTAATCATCGTGTGATATTTGTTTAGTTTATAACCCAGCAGTGAAGGAAAATCAAACCTGAACATCACTTTCCTGCTCATCATGAACAAACCCTGTAACATCGCACCCCCATATTTGTCTCACCACGTACACAAAGCTGTATTTTTTTTACACATCCCATCAGCCCCACGGCATCCTGGGAGTGCAGTTTATCATCAGCATCAGTTTATTATAACCGGTCTCAACGCTAATTTTCTCATCTGCAGTCAGGCTTGCTTGAGCCAGCGTTGGAGAATTGCCAGATGTTTATGGGCCAAGGGCACTTTCTATCAGACATGGGTCCGAGTTCGACACGAAACTAGATGATACATCACATCAATGTCCTGCGCTCATTATGAAGATTATGATCTGCATACACCCCCGTCGCTCCAACTCCCCCCTTCCAACCCCCCAACCCCCTTCCTTCACAGGCGTCCGTGTCCCCCAATATCTTGAGCCACTGCCCGCCGCTGCTTTGCTCCCTGCCTCGCTGGCGCTGCCAGCCTCCTGCACGGCCGTGGGTAGCGAGAGCGCCGCTTCTCTGGCCCTGCAGGCGTTTTAATCACCTAAGCCACAGAGACGTCATCCATCATGCGTTGCAGTCCTGATGATCATGACAAATTTACTCTGCAGCAGCAGGTGCTATATCTATGTGCTGTGAATTGAATTTTAAATGGAATGAAACATGCGCCCTTGCCTTCATTGAACTCTAATGTGACCGAGCACCGCGTAACACAACAAAATACATGAAAATGTTTAGAAATTAAGACAATTTGTACAACCTTTGAATCGTACAGAAATTCAAGATCGAGGTGTCACCAGAGTTGCGGGCGATACCACGCATCGCCAACGCTCTCTACCCTGTGCCAGACACACCGCAGCAGCAGCAGCAGCTGCAACAGCTGCGGCTGCTGCTGCTGCACAACACGTCTCACGGCTATTTTCGTCTCGCTCTTTGATGAAGTATTTTTTCTCACAGTTGCCACCTATGAGGTACAAAACCACCAGGACATAATGGGAAGAAGAATATCTCACAGCACCGTGGAGGGGAGAACTACATTACGCAGATAACAAAACTAGACTCTTAATATCCCTGGAAGACTCACACATTCCAGAGCATGGTCACCGAAAAAAAACTAGGACAGGTGGCAACCTGAAACGTTTAGCATGCTCGTGGGGAGGCAGCGGAGGACAACGATCAATGCTGGAGGGCTTAACGTGTCAGGCAGGAGCCGTGCGCCTGCCGAGTGATGACCTCCCTGCTGGTGCACACCACCGTGTGCTCGGCAGCCCGGATGTCCGCAGCAAGGGAGACGCAAACAACAAAAAACTGAAAAGTAGACATTTTTTTTAGTGGCCTTGGTGGAGAGAACAGTGGTAGGCGTAGGGGAGAAGCTAGCGTGAGGTAGAGGGCACGTACTTAGACGAGTACGTGAGGGTGAGTGTCAGTGGCAGGGGGAGTCTAGTGACTGGTTGGTGAGGGTGTCAGTGGTAGGGGGAGTCTCTAGTGGCTGGTTGGTGAGGGTGTCAGTGGCAGGGGGAGTTCTAGTGACTGGTTGGTGAGGGTGTCAGTGGCAGGGGGAGTCTCTAGTGGCTGGTTGGTGAGGGTGTCAGTGGCAGGGGGAGTCTCTAGTGGCTGGTTGGTGAGGGTGTCAGTGGCAGGGGGAGTTCTAGTGGCTGGTTGGTGAGAGTGTCAGTGGCAAGGGGAGTTCTAGTGGCTGGTTGGTGAGGGTGTCAGTGGCAGGGGGAGTTCTAGTGACTGGTTGGTGAGGATGTCAGTGGCAGGGGGAGTTCTAGTGGCTGGTTGGTGAGGGTGTCAGTGGCAGGGGGAGTCTCTAGTGGCTGGTTGGTGAGGGTGTCAGTGGCAGGGGGAGTCTCTAGTGGCTGGTTGGTGAGGGTGTCAGTGGCAGGGGGAGTTCTAGTGACTGGTTGGTGAGGGTGTCAGTGGCAGGGGGAGTCTCTAGTGGCTGGTTGGTGAGGGTGTCAGTGGCAGGGGGAGTTCTAGTGACTGAGTGGTGAGGGTGTCAGTGGTAGGGGGAGTCTCTAGTGGCTGGTTGGTGAGGGTGTCAGTGGCAGGGGGAGTCTCTAGTGGCTGGTTGGTGAGGGTGTCAGTGGTAGGGGGAGTTCTAGTGACTGAGTGGTGAGGGTGTCAGTGGTAGGGGGAGTCTCTAGTGGCTGAGTGGTGAGGGTGTCAGTGGCAGGGGGAGTTCTAGTGACTGAGTGGTGAGGGTGTCAGTGGTAGGGGGAGTCTCTAGTGGCTGGTTGGTGAGGGTGTCAGTGGCAGGGGGAGACTCTAGTGACTGGTTGGTGAGGGTGTCAGTGGCAGGGGGAGTTCTAGTGACTGGTTGGTGAGGGTGTCAGTGGCAGGGGGAGTCTCTAGTGGCAAGTTTGCTCCACCCACAAACTTCCCCTCCCCGGAGTTGGCTTTTCTGTAGTTTATTTTTTATAACTTCTGCAGATTATTTGACCGAGGTGCCTATAAATGGTTCACCCCTGTATCGTCGAATTAACGCATGGACAGCAGACAACTTCTTCAAAGCTAGTGTGTGCATGTGCTTGCGTCGCTGCACATTCACTTTGCATTCCCTGAATGCATTGCGCTACGCGTGACATAAATAGCTCGCGCTCCTTTCTGGAGCGATTCCAGAGGCCTGCGATTCCACTTTCTAAGTGCTGGTAGGAGGTGGCAAATTGAAGTGGCTTCGCTCCCGTAAAATACTCAGACATATTGACGAGGGAGATAACCATTCCACGTGGCCACACGCACGCCGCTCTGCACGAGTGCCCTTCTCTTTATTTACGGCAGCGAGACGACCGTGTCCGCCGAGGCCGTCAGCTCGCGTCGCAATGACAGTTTCGCAGGACGTCCCCAGGGCTGCTGCAGGGGCCTTCGGAAGTGCGCAGCGGATTTGTCATCACAAATCCGTGCCCAGGACCGAGAGCCAAGGGCGCAGACGAACGGATGTCTTCCGTGGTGAATTCGCGAGGTTCACGATGGCTCACAACGTGCCCCCCCCCCCCCCAACTGGGCTCTGCCCAGGGGTCTCCGCAGCCGCCGGGCTCTCTCCGACCGTCCCCTTGCATGGACGATGGCGGGCTCCTGCCGTGGGTGCTCGCGGCTTATTCGGTGCCGGCG